GAAAGAATAATACAGCTCTGTTTTCCAGTCCTTAGTTCTGCAGGGATGGTATCAGCTCCAGCAGTTGTATCATCCAAAGTTTTTCCTTTTTACCTGCCTTTTTCTCTATTTTCAGATCCCCCAGGGTCCAAGTGTGGGTAAGAATGAATAGTGTTCCAGACAAGGGGACTGTAGTTTAAGGAGTCTTGCCTATGGGGCAATGTTTCTAGGACCCAGGTTCCTGCTCTTTCCTTCCCTTTAGAGGGATGAAGTAAAGATAGAACAATTTAACTAGTCCTCCTAGGGGAGATGTCCTGTGGAGAGACTGGGCATGATCTCAAACATGCAAGCTTAGAGCACTGCAAATCCTCATACTTCTCAGTTCATCTTGCCTTGTAAGAGTTAGTTGCTTGTATGTGTGTAGGTTGACCAGTAATCTAAATTTTCTCAGGGCAGTACTAGTTTAAGTTATAGTCCAAGGAAACATATTTTAAAATGCTCCTGTAAAAAAAAAAAAATGCTCCCTTTCAGTCTTCAGAGAGTCCTACTGGACAATATGCTATAAGGTCAGCCTACCTAGATTCAACTCCAGACTGGACTATCAACTCCTTGAGTGCACAGAAGGTATCAGTTTTGTTTTAGTTTCCTAGACAATGATTGGTGAGTCAATGAAATTTTGTGGGATAAATAAGTAAGCAGATTGATTCCTAGTTTGGAAGATGTTTCTGCCTAGGGCTATAGAGACCCAAAAGGCACCTAAGGGCCGGGGACCTTGAGGCCCTGGAAAGAGACCACAGCAGCTATGGCTGGAGAGTGCACAGGCAGTATGACTTTGTCTTATATGTAGGCACACCCACATACTCACCACGTCCTTTGGGACAGATGATCCAGGTTTGCCTCAACATAATTCTCTTTCCATGGTCTATTACAGGTTTAGTGATCTTGCTGCTTCTGCAGGGAGGTAAGTACTCCCCAGGTTACTACTACCTCGGTCTTCAAGGTTGGGTCCTTATAATTCTTATGTTCCATTTCTGTCTCTGCTATGTGCTCTCTCTCTTGATTCCTCTCTCAAATTCTGCTACTAGCATGGTTACGACTTCTGAATTTTCATTCTGTGTTGTCATCCATGGTTTGGGTTCCATTTTTAAAAATCTCTCTCTCTCTTGTTCTTCTCTCTCATATTTAACCTCAATGTGTGTGTGTACAACATATGAATATATACATATATGTACAATATGTATCATGTGTTATCTGTCCATTCACACGCACTGTATCTCCGTGCTCTGTGGGTGTTTTACACATAGATATCTTTGTCTTTAAATGCTGTTCTTAACTGGGATCTGGGTACTCAAGAGCCAGCACTAAGGGCTCAGGGTGAATGACCCTCAGAGACTGGCTGAATGAGCAAAGGGTGCAATGACTGTCTTGGGGAGAAACCTGTAACTTTCTGGACCCTAAGGCAACAGCAAGGTCCCATTGGCTTTTTTCACTCTACTCTAGGGTCTGCCTACAAACTCGTTTGCTACTTTACCAACTGGTCCCAGGACAGACAGGATCCAGGAAAATTCACCCCTAAGAATATTGACCCCTTCCTATGCTCTCACCTCATCTACTCATTTGCCAGCATCACTAACAACAAGGTCATCATCAACGACAAGAATGACGCAGCACTTTACCAGACCATCAACGAGCTCAAAACCAAGTTAGTAGAATCAGGGTGGCCTTCCTAGGTGGGTTTTGGGAGAAGGAAGTTGGTCTTATCTGGACCTAGGCCTACTATTTTATTCATCTATTCATATTTGTTTCTTTGGGTATGCTTCTGAGCCTAACTGTTCTCCTCAAAGCTTCTTTTTTTTTTTTTTTTCCTCCAGTGAACCTGACTACTAAGCAGCTAGCACTATTTGTCAATAATCTTCCTATCAGGAATTATCTTTTTAGTTAAAGTTTTCCTAGTAGCCAGAAAAGAAATAATCAGTTTGTTCTTCTACTCCAGGAATCCCAAACTGAAAATCCTTTTGTCCATTGGAGGGTACCTGTTTGGCTCCAAAGGGTAAGACTACATCACGTCACTATTTTTCATTCATTCCCCCATGTAATTTCTGGTCATTATCACTTTCTACCTCCTAAGAAGATACGTTGAACTGGGCAATGAGAAATTTCCCCATGGCCAGGTGACAAAATTGATCTGAGTTTTGTCATGAGCAGAGCACAACAGTAGGTTTGTTGGTGTCTTGGGAAGAACTTGACAGGAGATTCACACAAGCTTAGGCACTTAAGATCTGAGAAAGAACTGGACCAAGAGCAATAAATTCTTAAATGATTTACATGAATGTTTTTCACTTTAGGAATTATGGGAGATAGTTTTAGTTGAGAAGTACTATTTTTGTTTAACAACTTGAGTGTTTGACTTAGCATCATGAGGTTAGTTGGGTGGATTATTTCCACTTAAGAACTGGACCTTGCCCCAAAGTAGTGAATTGCAATGTTGTGAGTCAGGGCTATGCAACCAGAAGACCCGAGAAAAGCAGAACAGCAGAGGAGACAATTGGGTCTGCTTTGCTTAAAAACAAAGTCACTATCAATGCAAAGCATACATTATAAATTGTATTTTAAGTCACATAAAACTGCTATCCCATTTATACTGAAAGCTAAATAGGCACTGGCAGGTGGCATGGTGGTTGAGGCACTGGACTCCCACATGGCTGATTACAGTTTGAGTACCAGACCTGGTGGCTTGCTTTCTCATTTTCTCTCTTTCTCTCTCTCTCTCTGTCTCTCTTTGGTCAAATTTTCAAATAATGATAAATAAAAAATTGGACAAATAATTCTTTAAAAAGGTAAAACAAAGGAAGTTATATAGGGACTCAGATGACATAATGGTTATGTCACTGGACTCTCACATAGCTGACCATGGTTTAAGGCCTATACCCAGTGGCGTAAAACATGCATGCATGCCCAAAATCCTGAGAAGAAACTAAAGAAGGAATTGTGGTATGGCCAACCCCCCCAGGGGGTGAGTTCTCATTTTCTGTCTCTCTCTCTCTGTCTCTCCAGCGAGTACACTTGCCCTATAGCAAAGAATCTCTCAAAAATAAAGCACTAAATAAATACAAAACATAAGGATGAAAGATATCTTTATTTGATCTCCAACGAATTTAATCTAATTTTAAATTTCTTTTAATTTTTTCTATTATTTTAAATTGTAGAGAGCACAGATGTATGAGAGACAAGGAAAGAGATATCCTTTGCAGGGTCCCACCAATCTGCAGTCCCCCCTTTCCCAGTCTGCCAGCTCCTCAAGATAGTGTGTCCCCACACACAGGTGACTGACATGTTTTTAAGCTGATCCAGCTATCCAAGCCCATGGTTGGGTGTATGGTTTCCAGCCCTGCAGAATACTTGCACCATTCCTACACCGCAGTGGTTGTGCCTGCTTTAATTTTTAAAGTGTTATCAATTTTAAAAATCCAGAGTTCTTCAGCTCAGCCAGCAGTGTCTCTCAGTTTTTATGGAAGTTTGATAGTACAACTTCCTCATGTAGCTTGTCAGTACTGTTACAGCTAGAGCTGGCAAAGAGAAGTCAGCATTAAAAAGCATACATAAAATTCTCCATACAGAAAGAAGAAAGATCAGGCTACCTAAATTAATTGGTTCTGTGTTAACCCCACCATGAACACCCTTCAATTATGAAGGGTGTTCATGGCAACTCTCCTACTATTTAAATGATCACTCCTTTCTAATAGTTGCTTAAATTTGGAATCAATTCAACTAGAACTGCCTTCATTTATGCATTAATTTATTTAATAAACAATTTATTGAGTGTCTATTGTATACCAGTTTAGTGGCCACAGGGGGGCTTTGGAAAGACTTGAATAGATGAAAGCCTCTAGAGTTGCTTGTTTGGAAAACAAATCATTTGGTTTGGATTTTCCTTTAGATATTTGCAAGCTATGTGCAAGTTGTGTGGCTTCAGGAAAGTTCCTTAACATCTCTAAGCTAAAGTCATTTGTGTGTTTGTTTTAAACTATACAATCAGAATAACAAAATCTATCTCAGGGTGATGGTAGGGCATGGAATATAAGCAGTTAGATATAGCGCCAATATGCAATAAGGACTCAATGCTCACAATATTGCTGTTATATTATTGTTACTATTATTAGGTACGTGCCAAGGTTTGTGCTGTGAAGAATACTTAAATATGTGCAATGCACAGACTTGCTTCTAAGGAGCAAATCAAAACATTTCTAATCAGTGTCTTTTTTTCTTTTTTAATGGTTTTTGCTTTAGGGCGCTTGCTCTCACCAAAGAGAGAGACAGACAGACAAACAGACAGAGACAGTGAGAGGGAAAGTGAAAAATCACTCCTCAGAGGGAATGTCCACATTAAAATTCCTTCTCCATTTCTCCCTAGAATCCTGGGCATGTACACACACGCACCTGGTGTGAGTTTCAAGCCAGCAGGACTCAAACCACAGTTGGTCATGTGGGATTCTAGTGATGTATTGCTACTCCATTTGCTGGCCCGAATGAGTGTCTTTTCTAAAATTAGAAGTGTCTGTCCAAAAGCTCAGGTGCAATAGTTATCATTATAAACACTTTTGAGATGCAAGAGAAAAAGGTAGAAACCAAAATCTACTGTGGTTTTCTAATACTTGGCTAGTTTCTAGTTACTTCTCCCACTACGCAGCTGAGATACATTCAGGGACCAAAATCTCAATTCAATATTGACTGAAACAAAAATTAATTAAAAAAATCTAAGGATGCCTGGGGATGAGAACTGTTATGAGAGGTAGAAAGTGGCAGAATTCAAAGGATATGTCCCCAAGAAAATACCAATATCTTGTCTATGGCATTGGATTTTATGCACTATTGTGGCCCTCTCGGTGGACAGCTGAGACTCACCTTTTGGGCTTAAGAACTCTAGGTCAGCTGAAAGCCCCTAGGGTTGCTTGTTTGGGAAACAAAGTCCAGCTCTATTATTATAGAACTTTCCTAAATGTATTCTTTGTGAGGCACATGAGGCAGAATTGGCATCCTTAATCCCAAATAAGAGACAGTTGGGCTGGAACCCAGAGTGCTGGTTAGTAACAAATGGGCCACCAGAAAGGACACTGACCTGGGACTTGAACACAGATCTCCTGACCCTAAGCCCACTACACTGCAAACTGCTTTTCCAAGAGGTGTTTGGAAGGTGCTAAAGAAAATTAAAGCTAGACAGTAGTTACTGTGATAAAGACAGGATTTATTTAAGAACTGTTGCAACAGTTCTTAAGGGAAAAGGAGACCTCTGAATGAGGTGACTTCAAAAAGTTTGTGGGAAAATGGATTTAAAGTATGTTTATTTTGGTGTCAAAAATTTGAAATCCATGCAATAATTTTTCATAAAACACATTTTCAGTGAATTTTCTGAAGACTCTCTCATGTAGTGCCTAGTTTGGTTCCAAATACAGCAAAGCCAAGTAGGGTTTTATAGCCGAAGAATAGGTTGGGGGGATGGATAATTAAAAAGAGGAAAGATTAGATCTTAGGAGATTCCAGCTAAACAGACTCAACAAGATCCTTTCTAAAGGCAGGCCAGGGCATTCCAATACCGGCTAGGAGATGGTCACCTGGGAAGTGGTAATATATTGAGACCAGTCAAATACTAAGGGTGGAAGAGTCTGACTAAACTAATTTAACAAGATTCTTGCTAAAACTGGGCATGGCAAAGATGGCGGATGGAAACTCAAGGTTGAGGTCTCATTTAGAAGAGAGCTCAGAGGAGGCTGTATAAGTTTGGACAAGAAAAATTTTTGTCAATGGTAGCCCATTACCCTGTAAAAAGTTCTACAGAGACCCCAATCCCCCTTTACCTGATCTGATCAATTTTCTGACCCAACAATTCTTTCTCTGCCCGCCTGTTCCAAAAGTGGGAGGATAGAGACAGACAAAAAGTGAGTGAATAAATTATTCAGGATTTCTGTGAAAAAAATGTGTTGCTTATTCTTCCTAAAAAACACTGTTTTTGCCTCTCCCCAGATTCCACCCCATGGTTGATTCTTCAACATCACGCTTAGAATTTATTAACTCCATAATTCTCTTCCTGAGAAACCATAACTTTGATGGACTAGATATAAGCTGGATCTACCCAGATCGGAAAGACAACACTGTTTTCACCATGCTAATTCAAGTAAGCCAGAGTCCACGCTATACTCTTGCCTTTAACATGTGGAATCCATGGGTCCCTGGATGAGACTTTGGAGAAGTTGCTAGTGTAGGCATTCATTTAGCTACCTGTGAGCTCAGATGATGGTGTGCAGTTGTTCTCTCAACAAACCTATACTAAGTACTGGGTACTAGACATCAAAAGAATCCCTGTTCTCAAAGAGTTCACATTCTAGTAAGGAATACACACATGGAGTCTGGTTGGAAACCACAGTCCCTGCCTTTTGGAAGCCCCCTTGGAAGGAGGGCAAGCCCTTGTTCCTGGTTTAGAGCAAGGACAACATTAAACAGTAAAGCTCCCTTATATGATGAAAACACCAAAACAAAGTAACTTCTGTGTAAAATAGTAAGGGGCCATAGAATTTTCTGGGTGCTGAGATAACCTCATAGAAGATCTACCAGATAGGTCAGAAAATCTATCTGGGTGGAAACCCAGATAGTTCTTTTCTGGGCACAGTGAGGCTGGGGTCCTCCTGCCTAATATGGAGACATCCAGAGCAGATATAGGCAGAAGGCATCTCCATGTGGAATGGAAAGGAAAGGGTTGATCTCTGCACCTAATGTGATTCTTGAAACTTCATAGATCCCAGGGAAGAAGATTAGCTCTGTATTCCAGAAAGAGGGAATCTGATATCTTGTTTTTTTTTTTTTTTTTTTTTTTATAGGAATTAGCAGAAGCCTTTAATAACGACATTGGAAAATCTAGTCAAGAAAGACTGCTCTTGACTGCAGGTGTATCTGCAGGGAGACAGATGATTGATAACAGCTATCAGATCAAAACATTAGCAGAGTGAGTACAGTCATGGGTCACTTAATGACAATGATACATTGTGAGAAATGCATCATTAAGCAGTTTTGTTATTGTGCAAACATGATAGCGTAGAGCTGCACAAACCTTGTTGGAATAGCCTACTGCACAACTAGAGTATATGGTATATGAAACTATGGGGCCATGGATTTATGTGCTTTCCATTGCTGACTGAAGTGTCATGATGGCCACATGACTACACATCAGAGCATCTTCTCTTGTCCCTTTGGTTCCTATTGTCTTTCTGGCCAGTGCAAATGACAAATGTCACTATGTCTAAGGAATGAGGGGAGGAAGGTGAGAGGCAAAGTCACTATCACTACACAATTCAGACAGAAACTTCTTTAAGATAATTTTTAATCCTTCTCATGGCATTCAAAGCCCCCTTATAATTATCTGCAATTATTGTTTTTATCGCTGCTAACCACAGAATCTGTTTCTTTGCTTTTGGGACTTTAGAAAACTGGATTTCATTAACCTCCTGTCCTTCGACTTCCATGGGTCTTGGGAAAAGCCCCTCGTCACTGGCCACAACAGCCCTCTGAGAAAGGGGCAGCTAGACAGAGGGACAAGCTCCTACTACAATGTGGTGAGTGGTACAAAGGAAATGCAGTGGGGCTGGGTGGAGGGATGGACCTGGGGAAAGTGCAACTCATCTAGAGTTACTTCTGTCCCAGACTGAGGAGTAGACATGTACCCAAGAGGGACTCAGATAACCCCAGGAGCTAATGAATGCAAGGGAAATGTTTTGGCCAGACATCAGGACAACGTCACCTGGAAAATGCCAGAAGCCCTGGTAGTCGAGGTGTTCTAAACTCTGTGTTTAGCCCAGCATGTTACCAATCCCGTCTTTGATACATTTTCTGGAACCTACATAGATATACAGAAAGCATGCCCTCCTGTGTCCATCCATATTATCTATTTAATGTAATCTTCAAAACAACCCTGTGAGGTTGGCTGGGCAGGAAGCATTACTCTCATTTACAGATGATAAAACAGAAGCCTGGAAGATCCAATGACTGCTCGAGGTCAGGCTGATGTAAATATCCTGAAGAGTGCTGGGAAGTAGAAAGTTGAAGGAAAATATTTTGTTGTTGTTACTGCTATGCTTTATATATATATATATATATATA